CAATATTATATGCAAAAGAAAGAAATTCACTCTTATTCTCCTTAAACGGAATCTCACGCAAGGTACATGTAGCATCAAAAGATGTAAAGTATCCACTGGGAAGTGACACTGCGCTATGAAAATCACATACGTAGATCTATATGATCAAGCTAATGGTAGTTTACGTGCCTTTCTTTGAGTATGGGTTTTTCTGAGAATCAATCAAAGCCAGTTATCTCTGCTTTTCATTTGACTGTGGGTACTACCGCTAAGTAACCAAACCAATTCGATGACCATCCTTCGGTCTGAAAGGCCTGTAGATGTGAAGACACGAAGAATGAAGCGTATCAGATATTCAGGTATCAGATGCCAGTACATGATTTCCTTTAAAGTAATAGATGTGACGGCTTTCTGATAATTTTTCAGTTAATTTCAAACAAAAAGAAAGCTCGCTTTTGATAATGCGCTTTATTACGCAGTAGAAGTGAGTTTGTGATGTTTCAGGTAACATTGTAAATATCTTCAATGTAGTACATTTAATTATGGTAAGGGTATGACAGCCTTCTGATAAATTTTCAGTTAATGTCAAACAAAAAGATATTTTAAAAAGCTAGCTTCTGATAATGCGCTTTATGATGCAGTAGAAGTGTGTTTGTGATGTTTCAGGTAAAATTGTAAATATCTTCAATGTAGTACATTTAATTATGGAAAAGCATGCCCCTTAGATCTATTATCAGAAATCGAAAATGATCGAAGACAACACAATGAGCAACAGGATGTTCTCGTTAAAGGTCACGTATCTAATAACGCAAGTTTCTACCTCGGGCTGCAATTATCTCTTGTAAGGGGCGCGGCATTCCTCCAACAAAGCTTGAAACTTTTTAAATTCACCTTTCACTTTTCTTATTTATTTATGAATGAAATAATCAATATGCCAGTGTCCGTTCCCAACAAAACAACAAAGTAAAACAAGAAAAAATAGAGAAATTAGGAAGTACAAGTAAGAGGAAGTGCCCAAAGCGCCCAAATTTGATTCTAGCTGACTCTGGATATTTGGGACAGCGAAACCATCTTGTTCTCGTCGTTGAAAATACCGTCTTCGTGATACACCCTGATTGTGACGAGAATCTGTAAAATATCACTGGAAAAATGTTATAGTTGAAATTTTAACGCGAAAATGCCATGTTTATAATAACATTATTCATGTACATTGTACATATCTTCAGTAATGCGGTTAGTTAGATATATCGAAGTGGGGCAAGGTACACACACTGGACAATAGAAGTGTCACCCCTACTGAACCAACACTTTGGGGGAGATAAATGACTGTGGAATGATATGCTCCCGGTATCATTTTATTACATCAAATTTCACAAAAAGCCCAACAATACAATTCCACTGTACAGCGGTTTTATACTCATTAGTCACATTATAAGTAGACCAGGCATTATAACTACTCAAGATCTACCTACTTTGATTACTCTGATTCAGGGGGTGACTCTTCTATTGTCCATTGTGTGTATATTTATCAGAATTGATAAATAAGAAAATTGAAAATTGTACAAATTAGTTTTTTTCTTCTCAAGATATCCACAGCCACTTGCTTTCTGTATGTATTTTCTGCAACTTCTTGCATTCCCAGTAGGTCCAATATTTAGTTGAAATAAATCAATAAAATGAGCTGATATTTGCACGGAATCAATAAAAGAGTCCACGTTTGTCTTTATTTTTCCTCTAAAATAAAAAAGAAGAAAAAGACTTAAAGAACACGTATACTTTCGATAAGGTCACGCAGAATCCTCTTTCTATTCTGAAATGCCAATTCTTTTACATACTGGGTTGAAGCAATTTGAAACTGAAAAGGTTCTTTGTGTGACTAAGGGAAACTTAACCAGGTGCGGTACGATACATGCGAGATTTTTTCCCTCATCCACTTATAAAGCCCCATTTTCACTGAGTTGCAACCATTGTGCTACCTTTCTACCACCCAAAATACATGTATGGCCAAGACAATCAATGGTCGCCAAAGCAAGAAAACCGAGAAGGTTGCACTTTCCACACAAGTTCCTTATTATATGGTGATTTATTTTCAGCTTGTTATTGATAAGCCAGGCGCGTATGTGAGCTATACAATTGGTAATTTTATCCATAAACAGTTTAAGGTTATATATATAACACAGCAAGTTTGTGATGGTGTAAAAGGGCACAAAGTGACAAGGTATAAATGCAAAACAGTTATTGCCCTAGAACACTGCCTTGAGGCGTTCCGAAAACAACGGTGTCAAAGACCGCTCAGAGAACCAGTGGTGACAAAGCAGAGTTGCTATCAGTGCTCATTCTTAATCCTCAGAAGAGCTGACTCTTATCTGCGTTTTGCCTTAGGACCAGATTGCATCTCCTCAACAAGGTTGTTGGTGTTGGTGATTGAACAGTCTAACAGCCACTACTTTTTCATTCAACTTTGAAAGAAATGGAAGGTTTGATTTAAGTCGGCAATTCAGCAAAATATCAGGACCAAGATTATTTTTTTAAGTAAAGGGCGAACAATTCCAGATTTGGGACTAGCGATACAGGTACCTGCTGTAAGTAAAGTCACGTTTACACTGGACGGCGAACTTTGTGCGTCTCTTCTAGGACCAAATTGTGGGCAGGACGCTCAATGGTCGTCAAAGCAAGAAAATCGTGTCTCAGTGTAAAAATGCATCTGCGATCCTTGTGCGTCCTTGAAACGACCAAATCTGAATTTTACCCTGAAATTCCCTTAAGGATATTGTCATGCACTCTTAGCCCCAAACTCCTTATTTACTGCCTTACATACATTCTTTTCAGTGTTCAGTGACTAAATTAATTAACATTTACATCTTATGGATGACGTGATAATTGCGATTTTGGGCTAAAACTGAAAAATCGGTTTCTCAAATTTCTTTTTTACTTGAGAACCGACGATCACCGTTTTAACACCGATTTAATGACACCATTTAGTACTCCAAAACCCTGCCGGCGAATTTTCTTTAAAGTCTTAGTTCAGATTTTGTCTTTAATGAAGCAAAATAATGGCTTTGTTTAATGAAAATCTGTAATTACGGGCTCATATCTTCATAACAACATTTAAACATAACGGCATTTAAACCAAAACGACGGCATGGGATCGTAGCCTATAATTCGTGGTCAACTCTGTCAATTTTCGTGATAAAATCTTGTTCAGGGATAAAGTTACGCTCCATACCTATTGCTATCTCACCTCGAAATAGAAAGGTGTTAAATTGACGATTAAAGCTTTGAGTTGCCTATGCTTATACATTGTGCACAACGAGAAATATAAATGCCGATATTTTAGGTTTTCGAGGGTTTTTTATTATTGTAAATCAACACAATGATAGATGCATTATTGAATAATTAGTTTCTTGAAAAACCTCATTTTCGGTATCTGGATGATAATAAAGGGTTTCAATATCCTTAAAACTGCGAGAAACTTGTGCGTCCACTGAGCGACCTGTCTGCCTCTGCTGGAAGTCCCCTGTGAAACCTACTGCGTCTCATGCTATGTGATAGCGATCATTAAGCATCATCACTGAGTTCTCTGTACCTTTATAGGCGAGCAATGGCGATCAGTGGCGGCCATTCTAATATCTTTCGGACTCCTTTTTGCACATGCAATGGGCGCGTTAATCGCTGAAAGGAGGCACAAAAGAGGCATAGGCATCTTCTTAATTTTTTTTCATGGTTGCATTTTCTTCGTGAAATCATATATTATACAAAAGTCCTTCCCGTTGAATTAATAAGAGGGATGAGGGGTGTAATAAAGGCCTTCGACAATTTTGCTATGGTAATGTATGCTGTGTATGATAAACAGAGTGCCATTAAAAAGAAAGTTACTGCTTAGCGAATAACATAATCGTGATTCTTGAAACGAGTTGTCTAGTGTATACGTAAGCTTCATATTGTTTTAGAGGGAAGCAACTAGAGTTTTTATTTTATATTCACTTACGCGTCTCACAGCATAGTCTCTCTCTCTCTCTCTCATATATTTTATATTGTCACTCATATGTATTCATTACACTAGTACCATGTATTTCGATAATCTTCTAAGAATTTTTTTCAGGATGAACAATTGTACCTCGAATANTTTCTACGTGTCGAACACTGGACGATCTTTGAGTTTTCATTCTGCAACCAAAGCGATGCTTGTGCGTCCTCTCTACGACCGCGGCGATGCTTGTGCGTTCTCTCTGCGACTACGGCGATGCCCGTGCGTCCTTTCTGCGTCCATTGAGCGACCATCCTACATCGCGTTCTCTGTGCGATTGTTTTGAACATGCTCAAAACTTCGCGGCGTCCATGGCGTCCTCGGCGATGCTTGAACGTTCTTTGTGCGACCTTGGCGATCACTGTGCGTTCTTTGAGCGTCCGACGGCGTCCTGGCCAGTTTCATGGTCGCACAAAGGACGCAGAAAGGACGCCGTCCAGTGTAAAGGGGGTTTAAGCATCATCACTGAGTTCTCTGTACCTTTATAGGCGATCAATGGCGATCAGTGGCGGCCATTCTAATATCTTTCGGACTCCTTTTTGCACATGCAATGGGCGCGTTAATCGCTGAAAGGAGGCACAAAAGAGGCATAGGCATCTTCTTAATTTTTTTTCATGGTTGCATTTTCTTCGTGAAATCATATATTATTCAAAAGTCCTTCCCGTTGAATTAATAAGAGGGATGAGGGGTGTAATAAAGGCCTTCGACAATTTTGCTATGGTAATGTATGCTGTGTATGATAAACAGAGTGCCATTAAAAAGAAAGTTACTGCTTAGCGAATAACATAATCGTGATTCTTGAAACGAGTTGTCTAGTGTATACGTAAGCTTCATATTGTTTTAGAGGGAAGCAACTAGAGTTTTTATTTTATATTCACTTACGCGTCTCACAGCATAGTCTCTCTCTCTCTCTCATATATTTTATATTGTCACTCATATGTATTCATTACACTAGTACCATGTATTTCGATAATCTTCTGAGAATTTTTTTTAGGATGAACAATTGTACCTCGAATAGCAGTTCATCTGCAGTTGACTATGCGTCCCGTTTACTCCCTTGGCAAGATGTCGTATTGGGAGTGTCTTTGACAATAGTTGGTAATTGTGTTTGTATTGATTTGTAAAAATTAATTTTGAATTGGTCTTAAAGTAATTCAGCATAACATGTACAATGTACATTAATTTATACGTGATGGATATCTGGTGATAATAACAGTGTAAAATTGGCATATTTGGATACTGCAGTGTTATGTAGTGTGCATTGTCATAGTCCGTGCATGTAGCTTATATGACTTTTTTAAAGAAAATATATTAAAAAACGGCCACTTTGATTTAAATTGCAGTGTAAATGTTCATTCTAATAGTCAGTTCGTGTAGCTGATATCAACTACTTTCGAAGAACATATATTAAAAAAGTCCACTTTGGTTTGAGTAGTTTTCACACTTTTTCTTATCTCGTTTCAGATGTCTTTGCTCTTATATTAAACGGAATAGTATTCACAATATTCTGTACATTGCGGACCAAGTTACATAGGCACGACTTACTTATTCTCAATTTGGCCATATCTGACATAAGCTTGCCTGTTTTTGCTTATCCACTTGCTATTTATTCATTGTTTAAGCACCAGTGGAGCTTTGGTAATGCAGGTAATGTATGGATCACATTTTTCAAACGTAGAAAGTATGTTAAGCATTTTGCGTGGAACAATATGACAGGAACAGAACAAAATGTTAAGCATCCTGCAATGTTGAGATATGCCAAAGCAACGCCTGTTCTAGGTAGTTCTCCTTTTTACAATACCGTTCATTACGTGTGTGACAAGCGTGCGGCAAGCTCTACACCTTTTTCCTTTTTTAGGCTGCATATACTACGGCTTCATCAGCTTTTTTGCAGGGGTTTACAGCATTGGCCTACTAACAGCTATCAGTATTTCAAGATACATGAAATTGTGCAAGACAAGCAATGCTGGTAAAAACATGTATAGTAGAGATGATTAGAAGAGTTTCATTTATTTAAGCCTTCCTTGTTATGGATTCTTTTCACTTTTTTTAAAACTTACCTCTCAAGTTATTGTGGCTAAAATGGATCTTTGCAATGTAATGACTTTAGGATTATCATCAAAAAAATAACATAAAATGTTCGTTTCAAACAGTTTCTCAAAATGTCTACACAACTCTCCATTACAGAGCTGTCTGTGTGTAAAATCAACTGTGGAGTTCTGGGATCAGTGTTGTACTCATTGGGTTGCAGTTTACCACCTCTATTTGGCTGGGGCGAATATGGGCCAGACCCTCACGGAACGTCCTGTTCTTTAAAGTGGGACAGTCGATCAGGAGGCCAGGTTTCCTACGTAGCTACCCTGGTTGTCGTTGGATATGTTGCTCCACTGGCTATCATGAGCGCATGTTATGGCTGTATTCTACGAAAAGTGTTCGCCCAAAAAAGAATTGTAAATAAAAAATCGAGAAGATTGAAGAAAATGGATGTGATGGAAATCCGTTTGTGTAAGGTATGGGTCATTTGTGTACTCTCCTTGCAAAAAAGTGCTTATCTTGGATTCTATCCGTGTGACTATGCGTGAGTAAGCTTTTGAATTCCTAGAATGCAATTTTGGTCCTTGTTCGACAAAACCTTGATCCTTAAAAAGATAAAGCCTAAGTTTTAAAGCACTACTTTAAAGTGCACGTTTATAATCCGCCTTTTGCTAAACTTTTCTTAGGACAAGTAATACGTTTTGGTCATTTTAGCAGATAAATGCTATGAATTAATGTCGCCGAAAATTAAGTAATGAATCACCTCCTGACAAATTTCAGCCGTCAAACACCTTGACATAGATCCCGGAAGCCGGTACTCAAAGTGATGGCGGGATTTGAAAAAACCACACTTAATTATATTTAAATTTCCCCAGATTGTTACAGAGTTATAGCGATTGTCAGGAATGGATTGTCAAATGTTGGTTACTCATTAAACAATACCGTTCACCCCTGCCTCATGCTAAGAGAGCATACCTGCGTAAATTAACCATTCGAATACCATTTTTTGTTATCGCTAAATAGTGAGTCATATCATGTGATGCTGTTTCAGATGTCTGCAGCTATGGGGCTAGGATTCATGCTGGCGTGGACGCCATACGCTATAGTCAGCTTTTGGATAACCTTTGAGAATGCTCCGTCAGTTCCTCCACTGTTGACTGTAATTTCAGCAATTCTTGCCAAAGCTTCACACGCTTACAATCCAGTTATATATTTCCTTATGAATAGGACAGTTAGAGACAAAATTAGAACTCTGTTTGAAATGTCTGCCCCCCAAAGACAGCGGATTGAACTCAGGTTGTCTTCAAATGAGACCCTTGCATACACCAGGGAAAATACTGCCACATGCAGATTACACGGCTTACTAACATGTAGACATACCTCCTGTAGAATGGCGTTAAGAACATTTTAAATTTATGAACATGTACTGCGTTGATTTCATTAAAAATTGGTAATGAATCTTATTACATTTAGACATTATACCAGAATACCGAAAGTGCTTAGCTTTGCAAGATACAAAATGTTTTGTCGAAAATCCTCAGTGATTCACCAGAAAATAACATTTGTATTTTTAAAGTTTCTGTTTGTTAATCATGATTGTTTAAAATAAGTTATATAATTTAAGATAATTATATATATATATTTTTTTTATTTTTAAATATTAATTGACATCTAATTTACGCTGAAGCATTGTTTTATCTGTCTGACGTCATGGTGGAGTTACATGTATGTTACGAGTATTTCCACTGAAATGGGATTGTGCTGGATTCCATGTTTCTCACCTAACGCATTTATCAGCACCTCAGCTGAGGTTATCTTACGGTCAAGGCAAAGCTGTTTTGAGGCAGGATTTTGTTGATTTGAAATTTCAATCCTTCAGAGAGAAAACAACAATAAGAGAGGCCAAAACATTGTTTGCCTTTGCCCAGTGAACAATGCATCATACCGTTGATATATTTAGCTTTTTTCTATATATATATATATATATATATATATATATAATTAACTAAGAATATTGGAAATATATGCACTATTGAAAGATTGGAAATATATACACTTCAAACATGAATAATGGAAATATTATCTGTATCACGAGTAAATATTTGGAACGTATAATTCATCATTTTTAAATGAATTAAAATTCACTTTTTTCAAGGCCATTGATTTACCGCCCGAACTGGTAACTCTATATAAGGGAAAATACATGCGTCATCACATTATGAGTGAGACATATTCTCATTATTAATACATTGCGATTTCTTCTAAACACCTTTTATTAAACCAAATAATGGTCTCTTGTCATGTTATAAGTCCACTTCAAATACATGTATGAGTCGATGCTATAAATTGCATTGTAGTTTTTTAAGGACTTATCGTTTCATAAAAGATTTTTCACAATATTTCGAATACTGGTATATGGTTATTTTTTCTATTAAATAATTTTTTCCTTCGCTTTTTTGCTGGAATGCCATCGGAATACATCTACGGCACGTAAATGTTATAAAGATCTATCTAACTAATTATATATCTATCTATTTGATCAATAAAACAACAATGCGGGAATTTTACTATCTGAACTTAAATTCAAACAGTCGCTAGAAGCAAAATAACATAAAGCAACATTTAATCAGAGATAGTGTTTTCACTTAACATTATGAAATTGATTCAATAGTATTTTTTCCAATGTAATATAAACTGTTCGTTATGAAATCACAAAGTGCGTGACTGTCTCTTGCACGTATATTTCAGTCACTTCATAACATTCATGTACCCACGCTTCATGTGTATCTTCTTTGAGATTAACGAGTTCTTTTACCCATTACTCGAGGTAAGCTAATGGATATCGTATGTGATTAGACTGATAGCTACTGTCCTATTAATCTAATTTATCAGATTAATTAATAGGTACAATTTTCATTACACTCCAAAAGCTTATTTTTCATGTTTTTCTCCACGCCACTTGTTTCAGTGCTACTGAAACGACCAGTTTTGTCCTGATAGATTTGGTGAACATACTGAAGTCAAAAAGATATGCACAATTTTATATCTGTAATGATTACAAAACGTCCAACATGTATGCACATTGTTTAATGCTATATGTCTTCCAGCACCGGTGTGGTAGAGATATCATATTTTAATAAATATTAAAATAATATTAATTTTAATAATATTAAAATAACCCACTTTGCTTTGAAGAGAGGGTAGACCACACGCTGCTACCCTGTACGTAAAATAGGAACGGCTGATCAAGTTTAACTATCATTACTATATAATGCCACAGTCCCACAGTAGTTGTTATCAGTCTTTTAATCATCAAGTAAGGATCATTCCACAATAAGAGAACAATTGAGTCTCGTCAGTGATGCTCCCATTTTGTGTAAGATTTGCAAAATTCTTCTCCCATTATTTTGGCTTTTATAGACCATAGTGCCCTCCAGTATGGAAAGAAATAACAGTAACAGAAAAGTTCACACTATACGCGTCTCCGTTTTTTTTTTTTTCACTTTGAGATTTTGTTTCCTGCAAAGTCACACGTTCCTTGCGGTGGTGTGATTTTTTTTTCAATATTTACATTTGCTGCTCTTAAAGTTAATCCAATTCCATCGTAATTTATTGCTCTAGGAATGTAGGTTTTACAGTTTTGAATCTTTAAACAGATAAGTGGGAAATGGTTGGATTTCCGTGAAGCAGCTAGCGTGATCTTTTTAGTTTCTGAATAAACATTTTCATTCAATTTAGCAGTTGCAGTTAATGGACACAGCACATATAGGTAATGACTTTTTGCGGCACTATTGATAAAAGTCTATCAGAATTTCAAATTTTCTTAAATGAAACAATGTGGCAGTTTCATTTATAAATTATATCTTCACTCTTCGCTTAAGAATAACATTTAGCTTGATTTTAGATTATCCTTTTTCTGTGATTTGGTTATAAATGATATTTCAGTGTTGATCAACAGAAGCGAGTTCAGGGCGCTGGGATTCTTAGAACATTTTACCAACATGTTAATGGTCTATTTTTAGACATTGTGCCACAAGTTTTAAATAATTACATCAAAGACATAAAATAGTTCACGAGATATTTTGCGGACCCGTGTGTGTTTAAGTACGACGCTAACCGATGTGCTAGAGGTCAAAATTGATCGAGATCTGTCGGGTTAGAGGACAAACTCATCTTGTTTGTCAAGGTAACAAAAATAGGCTTATCGATCTTCAGTAACGTGCATCTTTATTCAGCAGAATTTCCAAGTCTAAAATAGCAATATCAATTGATCTGGACTTGTTCTTAAAACAGAAATCATTCGTTTGGTCTATAAACGTAATATTTTTATCCAGAATCAAAACTTTAAAAAGTTTAAATCATAGTTAGGCAACTTAATATAAAAATTAAATATCCGTTGTAAATCATCTTTAGCATAACTGTCTCTACTTAATTGAATCGTTTGTATTCACTCTACGTCAAATATTTTGCTTTGTTTCATTACACACGGTGCTAACGTATACATGTATTTTAACTAAAAGTGACTCCGTGGAGATCGAATTAATTGAATCGCTGTTCAACACGCCAAGTGCTCATGAGAGCGTCGTATCTAAAAACCCTTTACAATGTCTTGCGTCCTTTGTGTCGACCATAAAGCTGGCATGGCTGGGCCGTATAGAAAGGATCGGCACATGCATGGCTTTGGTTGCAGAAAGAATGCTCAATGATCGGCCATATGTCGGCACGTAAAGTTTTTTTTTTACTCTCAAACGGGACCGTACTACGGGACGCAGAAAGGATGCCGTCCAGTGTAAAGGGGGCTTAAATGAATGGTGTGAGCCAATTTTATTCGCCATGTCTCGAAACTGAAACAAAAAGTGTACCCTCAGTATAATTATACTATCGGAGTTTGATAAAATTTTGCATATGGTTGTTATGATGTATTTATTGACCAAAAGCTGAGATAATATTATTTTGGTATTTATTATTACATGATCTAGCACCTACCCTATCGATAATAACTCTACTAAAATGTAGATACGAGTGACTCTATCGCATGCTTTCGAGTAAAAATAAACTTACCATAAATTAAACAAAAATTAAAGAATATAAAATATCAGCTTTTACTGATAAATGACAAAGCGGTCGAGACAGTGAATTTAATATAAGCAGTGGCATGGAGGAAGCACATTTCACATGCACATACTAGAGAAAGCAAGTCAGCAGCTGCATCACAGTAGATTATCAAAATGAGCTGGTGTGCCTATAAATGAACTCCTTTTTATTCACACAGCAACTTCAATAATGAATCAACAGTATCCTAGCCTGGTATCCCAGTTTGATAAAAAAAGTGTAAAAATTCAATTAGGCAAAAAATAACATTCAAAAGGTACCCAGAACTGATTTACAATGAAGCAATACAACCCTCTGACACCATGATGCTTTACTGATAAATCCTCAAAGAGACTGTACTTTTATATAATCATTGACTTTGGCTGAGGTCATCTCTTGAGGTGACAGAAACAAAAAACCTTTAACTGATATATTATATGATCACGAAGGTTTAATATAATAGAAACGCATCTAGGTAACACAGTGGCCATGGAGTTCCAAGATGGTTAGAAGGGGGATCAGCTCTCTTAAATAATTGACCGCTGACTGTCCAATCAGAAAGCGTAAAAACTCGTGATCATGTAACAAGAGGATAAATATGAAACAACATAAGAGTTTTAAAAGAATGTGAATTCAATTCGCACATGTCATTTCTGGGTACGATTTCTAAAAATAACCCTAAATATGAATGATTTTTTATGAAAAACAATGTCATGGTGAGTGTTCTGTCTTCGTGCTTCGTGATATGGGAACCTTCCCTATAGTTGTAACCTTGTCATCATTGGAAATCAAACGCAGCTGTGATTGATGACAGTTTCCGCACAGTAATAAAACCAAGCGCCTATCGCAGCTAATTAAAACTAGTAATTGACTTACTTTGCCATTTAACAATGTCCCCTGGGGTTAATTACACACACACACATACAGACACACACACAATATATTGGAGACACGTATTGGTCTTGTTTAATAATGGCAGCGGTAGGTCATACCTTGCTCTAACATTGAATATATGGATCGGATAATGCAATGAGCATTATGGGCCACTTGGTTTTTACGACATTAAGTGTGAATATCCTGGTGCAGTACATGTATCCTTCACCTACTGTAAATGTACCCAAAGTCCGTGGGTTTCATGACAGAGGCTGGCCTTCTTTGCCTTTTTGGAAGTAACTGTTTATGATATAAAGATACCTGCAAACACCGTTTGAAAGACATGCATTATAAATATTTGCAAAGATGATTGTGTCTGCTCTTGCTATAACTTATAATCTTAATTTCATTTTTTGATAAATGTACAAAGTTCGATGACTTGTAGGCCCATGAAGCTGGGTAATTTGCATTTTTTCACATGTCACGTTTAAACAAATACTACCTGCGTGCCATAGCACTTTTGTTTCGTTTCTTCATCTTCGTCCTGTAATTTTTTTCTCATTTATGTGTGCAAAGATATGTGCAGATACTGTTACAAAGAAAGACAACGAAAACAAGCCATATTTCATTTTTCGTTTTCAATTTTCCATCTAAACGCTATATCAGCATTTCTTTAAAAGTCCATTGCCCTCTAACAAGTGATGGATGATGACGCTTACATGTTAATCCACATGTTGCATGGACTTCAAATTCAGTTACAACAAGCAAACGTTGGATAAGGTTAGGTAAAGTTAACGATGCAGGGCAATAGAAGATGAGGTACAAAATAGGAAGTAAATGAGTGTTAATAGTTGCAGTATTCATGCATTGTGGATAAGAAAGATGTTGTTATGCACAGCGTTCTCCCACGCCAATCGCCCCACTTGCTGGGGTCAATGACGACGCAAGCGTGCCTTAACCGCAGCGTTGGCGTTATCACGATTCTAATGATTATAGCTTTAAAATATGAAAAACTTTAGGTTGAAAACAAAAACCCGGTACTAAGGTTATTTTCAAACATTTTTTACTGATTTACAAATGACATGAAGTGTCATTTGCGATCTCTCCATTTAAAAAGAACAAATACTAAAGGTACATGATTCAATGTGTCGCAATTATTAACAAATCTAAGAAATCAGCGCTGACGACACTGGAGTACAGTTACTATGAAATCGAGCTCAAACATATATCAATTCCCACAATTAATGATCCAAGTTAACCAGAAAACCTTGTCAACCCCGTGTTGTTACTAGTTAAGACCTAACCTAACCTAAGAAGCACGGGAGTCGACTACGACCACTGGGCGTTTATTTTGGATATATTCACTTACGGACATTCAACCTTCACTAACATTAGGCAAGGAAAAAGTGCCTATGACAAAGTGTCGGATTCGCCCTGGTCTGTATAGAAAATCTGCCTGACACTCGTATATTCACTTATAGCATTTTTGGAAAGTGAAAATGTCAATACTGCAATGACTGCAGTATATACATAACCAATGTGTTACGTTCTGGGACTTGACGAACAACTTAACCTGGGTCCAATACATTTACGAATAAATTGATATAAGAAACATGAGAAACACCTTCTAATTACGACCATTTTGTTCGAGTAAGTCGATTTTTAATACGGCCGTGGAACTATTTCGAAAATATTACCAGCCATCAATTTGATTTTCTGCAGCTAATCAGAAAGGGTTTCTCAGGTCTGTGTAATTGTCGCTTTGATATTTTCTCGTAACATTTTTTTTGCAGATATTCAAAATGGGGACTAATCATTGCTAAGTGTTAGTAAGTAGAAAGGAAAGATATGCCCATTTTCCTCTTTTCTTACAAAACAGTGTAGGTAATGATGTGATTTCCCTTTCAAACCTCCAGCATTCAATGGCAACGCATTGTTTACTCACCTCGGTTATACTTTGGAAGGAAATTGACTTCTACCTTCTCCTGATTTGATTACATTTCAGACATATTTATAGAACTACTAGTACCAGTAAAAAGTAAACACCACAGTTGAAATTCGAAGCAATCGTACAAGGCCAGCCGATAACCTGTTATACAGGGGCGGATCCAGGATTACAAAGTAGGGTCCGGAACGACCATCGTCCCCTTGGTTCGGGGTTCGAGGCCTGCTCAAGAACCTCGAACATTTTTGGTGTTTTTGGAGAGCAAACAGTGCCCTTTGATACGGTTTAGAACTAGGATTTAGCTAGCCAAGATTCTAATTTCAAGAGGGGTATATTGGTGTGATATATTTTTCAGAAACCGAAGGGGGGGGGGTGTCAGGACCACCCTGACCCCCCTCTAAATCCGCCCCTAGTTATAGGGTAGACGCACTTCTAAAAAACTGACAAAGCTAGAGTGCCGCAGTCGCTCCAAATTAAGTTTAGTAAAGCTGAGGATTCAGTCTCAATTTTCTATGGTACCAGATATACTCAGGTAATTTAGTTGAACAACACCATTCAGTTAGATAATTAAAATTTAAAGTAGAAACATTGATACTGACGGGAGGACATGATAAATGGTTTATTGTTCATATGTAAGTTACATGTTTCACAGTTGTGTGCAATATATCATTTATTTTATAATACTGTATCAATTACTCTTGAATTCCTGAACATGCATGTATCAATCTTGCCCATTGATTACATTTCTAGTTACTTGAAAATATGCATGTACACCTTTGTTATTGAAGATTTCTAGCAATTTTTGGTACGCTAACCATTTGAACCATTTTTAAAAAGGGACAAACTGGATTGCAAGTGTTGGACCACTTATTTCACATCTTTACTTAAAGTGCATCATTCTTTTTCTCGTCTAGGAAGAACTAAACGATGATATATAACACTTCTCCGCTAACATGTAATGGCATTTATCGTCGAGTTAAATTGACTGTTTGGAAGTAAGTACAGAATTGAGTACTTAAGATATTTGATTAGTTTCTCGGGACAGCACCTTTGGGCACAAGACGTGCAGATGCCATATCATTTGACGTTTATGATCGTATCACAATAATGTGATATATTCCACATTTGAATTTACGGCTCCAGTGGACAATAGATTTAATTTACCGATCTGTTACAACAGAGAGCAAAAAACTGCGTATCAGATGCAGTTTAATGTTGTCAAGCAGTGGTCAATACACAACCCAATTCTACACAAGTAATATGAATTTAATCTTTAGTGGCCACAGTGATTTCTAGTGTAGTTTTATTAAGCATGATCGGAAACCATACCTTGACACATTACCATGCCTGTTAATGTAGTTGAATGGCTCTGTTATTAACTAAGTATTGATCAAAATGGGCTTTTAACAACAATTTATATAATGGAAATAACACCCAAAGTGCATTTTTATAATGCTGTTTTTTTCGAAACACTTATATGTGTGTGTGTGGCATAACCAATGACAAAATGCGATTCCACATATTAGACAAAATGAAAGAAAAACAGAACGACTTTCGAGGTATGTGTTAGATATGTGATGGCTTGTCTAATTCTACCAATCTTCTTCACAAAGGACAATGCTCAGGGTGCAAGGTGCACACTGTATTGTTGTGGTGTATTTTTAAGCCGTCTTCAGGTGTTCGGGCGTCAGCTGATGTCCGACCTGATGAGTCCCGAGACGGCTGAATAAAATGAGCAAGGTGTGCCTCGTCCTCTGGAACTCTAAATCGAGAACAAGAATCGCAGTTTAGAAGATGCGTGATAGCCTTTCGGAATCCCCTATTAAAAAAGAAATACAGGAACGGGTTCAGCGTTGAGTTTACATAGCCAAGCCATATTGCTGTTGTCCACAACTTGTATGGAATTGAGTAGTGAATAAAAGGATCTATCACATTTAGAACGAAGAAAGGCCCCCAACACACTCCAAATCCGCCCATAACGACAGCTAAAGTTTTAGCGGCTTTTGCTTCTTTGCATTTGAATTTTTTCGCGGGTCCTGGAATTGACAGTTGAATGGTCCGTATCTGTCGCACTTGACGTCTCGCTACCGAATATATTTTGACATTTACAACAATCATGAAACATACCGGAATGTAGAATGCTAGAATAGAACCGACCACCGAATAAGGAATATTGACCAGGAACATGCAAATTGGTGTTCCCGGTGGGGTTTTGGCTTTTATCGCATCTTCAATTCCGATCGTGTTCCATCGGTTCATAATAGGTATGAATGATATGATTATTGGCAAGGTCCAACACATGACCAAAAGGATTATTACTTTACGTCTGGTCATCCTTCCGTGGTAATAGAAAGGACAGCATATTGCAAAGTATCTGTCAGCTGCGAGACAGCTCAAATGTAAGATGGAGGATGTCGTGAACATGACGTCAAAGCTGGAGGCCACACGACACATCGCGTCTCCGAGTTCCCAGACTTCATTCATGACTTGATGATACATTCCAAAAGGCATCACCAACACTGCTACTAAAATGTCTGCTACAGCAAGTGACACTACAAAGCAATTTGTGTAAGTTCGGAGGCTCTTGAAAAACACAACAGCCATTGATATTACGACATTACCAAGGATCGTCAATACGATCACTAAAACAAGAAATATCCCAAGTAATGTCCTCTCGGCTACGGAATAATGGATCGGAGATCCCGCCAATTCATCATCGTAACACCCATTATTAAATCCAAACGCAACATTTGCATTGGTTAAGAGCTTCATTTGCGTGAAGCCGTCTTCTTCCATCATTAATGTTTCTAGTTTTTAACTTCCGTAGAATATTTTCAATATCCTCTGCTGTAAAACATTAAAGCACAACAACTTACCATGTATCGCATAGTAGCATATCGCATATGTAGCTCGCATAGTAAGATACCAGCACCCGGCCTGAGATACTGATAGTTCCTTTTATAAAATACTTTTCTTTTAGATCCATTTTTTCGTATCTGAATTATAAGTTACGTGACACAACGTTTGTCGAGGTTGAAATGAAGCTCGAACCGATAGAAAAGCGAAAAGACAATCTCCACTCAATTTTAGTAGATGGCCCATTCTTTACTCATCTTTAAGAACTATTAACGACGGTAACCTAAAAATACTTCCACAGAAACGTCATTTGGGGGTTGTCTGGTGCTGTTTTTGCGATTGTCTACATCTTTGTTCCCCAGACGACAAATGGTGTTTGGCAGTGGCTATATATATGTAATCCCATTCCATTAGTTGCTGCTAAAACTCCAGAGGTTCTCACCCAGGAGCCTCGATAGTGGTTGTATCAGAATGGCTCTCATCCCAAAATAAAGGCACACAGTTTGGGCATCGATTTTCCTTGTGCTATTGACTTTTAAATAACCCAAAGAACAAAGCATCCAGTCTGGCAGGGAAGAGTGGATAAAATCTCATATATATATATAACTCCTCCACGTGATGCCCTGTGCATTCACAGTCTCTATCTCATTAACGTTTTCAACAATATATTGTAATTTTTATCCTCAGCAGATCACTAAGGTAGTAGGGCTATCTAGTTGATCCAGCCCTTCATTTTTGGAAGTTATCTTCTTGATAGGTTCCTTTCCTTTAATCACATGGGGCAACTGTTGTGTTGTCAATCCTATATGGATTCCAAGTAATATCTGAAACAGAAGTAAAATCAGATAAAGTGTCTTGGGAATAAGCGACAAGCTATAAGGATCGAGATAATGAATTAATAGCGAGACTGAAATGCCAAATAATTAAATTCAATGCTTGCGTGCATAAAATTCATGGGGAAGACTGTATGCACCCTAAGATAGCCTATGTGCCATTTGCCTCTCCGGTAAGTCCAACTTGTAAAAAGCACTCGTGTATATTGATTACCTCGGCTGAGACTTCACCAAACAATGTGAAATCTTAAGAATTAACTCAGTTGAAGTCCCCAGTGCTGCTTTAATATGCAAATTGACATGAAGTGCGGAGACGTGGTTTATTACTCTGAGTGCTCATTTTCATCAACATGCAGTCCTATATTCCCTAAATACTCGGAAGCGTCAATGCTTTGTGGTCAGACAGGGCCGTTCAGAGAAAAGCACCGCTATGTTCTGGTTCGAGTGGGTGGCGCATGTTGCCAAACGGAATCACCATGACGCATTAACAATTAACATTAACAGTGCCCACGCATCAGGTATTAATGTACGCCAAAAATATACCTGAAACACTGCGGAATTTGGACAGATGTTGATTTCTTAATTGCATCATCAACTGTTTTTTTCTGTGGAATTACCTCTCTCTCTCTCTCTTCATGTCCCAGTAAAGGGTACATATAAACGTAATTCAAAACAGAAGATAACATTTAGTATTGTATTTTATATTTTACCCAATATATTTACCAACTAAATGCATCATGAAGGGACTAACTGGTATGATTAAAACGTCCCACCATTCGACAAATTAAATGCACGCACAAATTTATTGTAGAACATAGATTAAACCTTGATTAATTGCTTTGTTTCAACGACTGATTAATTCTCAGAGAAAATAACGGCTATATCATACACCAAACTATTTGCTGGAAGTGTTCATAGGCCTTCATGTTTTTGGTACAACGTAAACCAATGACAGAATATGACCTTATATCAGCTGTGCTTGAAATTGATGCGAGCATATTTCGTGGTGGTGTTACTCAGCGGGAAGGCATATTATCAAAATCATAAAAGCGTTGCTTATATTTTTATAGATTTTACAAGAAGCAACATATTTTCAACCTGTAGATCTGCTGTTTTGTACAATGCATGCAATACGCATTCATATCTGATTGTGTGCTGGGAACCGCATTTACATTTTTTTCTAATAATCTGGAATCCCTAAGAACAGTTTCTGAGTTCTATTTTTATCCGCATGGCTTATCGATATCAATAATCTTGTTTCAAACCCTTAAGAAAATTGAATCAATACCCATTTCACCTTAATATAAAATAACAGATACAGTTTCTTGCCTACTTTTAAGTACACTGTCGCTCAAAATGGCTGTCACACCTAATTAATAGATAAAAAATGTTTAATCACTAGACATGCAAAAGACACATAACACAGTTGTATTCTACACTTCCTGTGGATTAAATGGGGTTTTTAACATTGCCCCTGAAAATAAGTTCTTTTGAATACAGATTCCTTTAAAAAAAAACAAACAGGCTTATGATTCTCCGTGGAAAAATTACAACCAGTTCAAAACTTTTCTTACATTTCTTTAAGACTAGTATACAGTCATTCACATTATTAGGTTGTGACCCCATGTGCACTATTAAGGTCCGATAAGTGAAGGGGCATGCTATTTACTAGTGCCTCCAATCTTTGGTTGGTTCCACCCTTGGATCAAATCTCAACAGTCACAAATTTGCTGGGTATGTGTGGTTAAAGACGTGGACCCCATCACACGGGTAGAGACCACATGGTTCCAGTGCACGACTGTTAGGTTTCTGTTCTGCGTAGCCCCGCGTTTCCTGTTGACGCAAGGGTTACGTGTTAAATTATTAACCATCCTTCTTGCGCTAAAGTAATGTTGGACGAGTTCACAGTTTGGCGAGATAGACGAGGCAAATGATGAATCCGTGATTCTCTAACAATGGCAAAGGCAGATTTAGTGGGGGTTCTTCTGCCGATATTAAAGGGATAACAACTGTTCATTTTGGCCAAAAAGAATTTTCCTGGGGTAAACAGCAATTTTCCCATACTTACCAATGGTTAATGAATGCATTTCTACATTCAAAGTTAGTCCCTGTGTTTTTTCTCAAAAGTTAGTTTTTTGTAATAATCTCTTAAGAGATTATTACAGAGTATAGCCATCTATGGAGGTCACGTGGTCGAATGGCAAGCACAGATTTCAGATCTATTGCTATAACTGTGGTAAAAGAGAATTGCTATGAGTTGTTTACAGTGTATTTATTGTGAAATGTATATATATGTATATATATCATACGAAGAGTTTTTATCCCTTTAATGTAGATACGTTCAGCACGGGCGGCATCAATGGGATGGGGTCGATCTGTGGATTCGTCAGAAGCTACACTGTCGGTCGCAGCTCTCCTCTGGATTAATTTACTGTAATAACAGTTCGCCTTAAAACGCCGCGCCCTCTGGCAATGTCGGGTTTCCTGAGGCCCATTTTTTTGAATGCATGTATCTGGCCTCTTAGACTAAAGTCAGCTATAGTTTTGTGGCGGTCAGATCTCATCTACCCAAACAACCAGGGATATCAAGGCAAAAACATCCCCTTCTTAGCCAAGCTACAGTAGCAACATGTATTCGCATATCCCTCACACAATTAACTTTGGAGCTGCCATCCGTTGACATGCGCTCCTAATTGACCCAGGTAATGTCAAATGGTCATTGATTTCTGTGAGGAAAAAAGATTCCAAAATATAAACATTAACATAGCTTAAAAATCTAAAACATTATTAAAAACCCAAATTCTAGAGAGTGTGACAACCATTTTGAGCAACAATGTACAAAAAGAATAAAGCATTTTAAAAGATAGAAAGTGATCATCAATGAATATGGATGAGATTTCTTTTTCCAAAACTACTGTTGACTTCTGACAATATATGTACCGGTTGTGCCCCAGCACACAGCAAAGGGTAATATCCTTTCAGTTACTCGATAATTAATTTTGATAATACTTCAGTTAAAACTACAATGATTTGTGTGCAATTAAAGAGGTGGGTTTGACTTTCAAGATCATTTTGTACTTCTCAAACTAATAGAAGATATCAAAAATATGAAAAAATATATCTCGATTAGGTCTTATGATTTAATCCGGTTGGATAGGTGGTTACACTATACCTACGTCTTTTAAACACGCAAGTTGAATGGCATATCTTAATTATAATAGCCAGCTGCGCCCATCTTCAACATTTTTAAATAGCCAATTATAAAAGCTTGGTATCAGGACAACTCCCCCTTGGACAATTTCCCCCGGACAACCCCCCCCCCCAGGACAATCCCCCCCACGATCACCCCTTCCCCCCCGCAAAATATATACAGACTTGACATTTAATATGGAATATTTCAGTTTCGAAGGTATGTCTAGGTAAAAATGCGTTCTTTTTTCAAAAAACTCCGATC